CCCCCCGTCGCGCCAACTCCCCCCACAGTGTTGCCGCCCCGCGCCCCGCCTCTAGTGCTCCTCCGCATCCCAGCTGCGCTCACTCCCCCCGATCGAGTACTTTCCTTCCCCGTTTTCCCCGATTCGCTTTCCTGGCATTCCCCGCATGCGCGTTTCCAGCATTCCCCGTGTGCAGAGAGCTGCCCGCGGCCTTCCTCGCCCGCGCCAGCGCGCTTGAAAAAACTGACTGTTGGTCGGTGCAAATTCTGGTAGGCTAATTACTACAAAACGGGCTGCCCAGCTGCGGTCCGTTTGAGGCTCGAACGGCTAGGGGTTTCCCTAGGGCTTTGAAGAATGGTGCTTCAGCCCATCACAGCTATCCTCTTCAATGAGATAAATCGGACGAAATTTGAGTAGGTAGGCCAAGGAATGTCTTAGGGTATATAATTTATAAATATATAAATATATAACAGCCATTCTGGTTGTGGTTTTGTATAGAAACTTATCAAACTGGTATAAAATCTCATGCCAACCGTTCTAATAACTGATTATTCATACTCCTTAACAATTGTTGAAACCAGAAGTATAAATGGTTCGATCAAGTGCCTCATGTTACATTTACCGTACAATGCTTTCAATCATCAAACTGCATAACATAGCGTAATTCCATGGATATACGTGCGCATGCGCTTCAATCTGGAGCATTACGTTATGATCGGTACTCAATCATTAGTGAGAAGGCATTTCCTGTAAATTAATGAAACTTAAGGAGAAGGCACTCCTGTACGCCGCAGGAGCCGACTCTACCGAGCACGAAGTCGAGGAGTCAAAAGAATCGAAGCGACACCAGCAACCGTCAGATCAAGACCGATGCAGGCAGGAATATTTGTAATGAAAAGAGCGAGAACTGGTTTAAACCGGTTTTCTGTGCCGCACGGTTTGAATAGGTACCGTATTCTCCCGGATATAGGACCCTCCCGAAAAAAAGACCCCCGGGCTTTTGAACGGTACTGGGCAGGCCCTCAGATTGGTTTGAGAGTATGCTGATGGATCAGCGTGCCCCGGCCAACGAGGTGTCCAAATCAGCGTTCACGGATTTTTTTTTTACTGATTTTGCCAGTGTGAAAATCATAAGTAAACTGAACCAACAGTGTAAAAAAAAACTAATAGCTGAAACACTAGTGCAAGGTGTGTGCTGTTGTTACTGTGATACCGTAGGTTCCAGCGAGGCGAAAGATATCAGGTCCACACACTTCGGAGCGCACCTGATACAGTATCTGCGCAGCACATGCGAAGTGTGTGGGTTTCGTGACACGGAAAGGTATAGTCTGTACATGCGTACCTTACCCCCCCCCCCCCCCGCGCGGTCAAGTCCGTTTCAGGGTGACGCACTGAAGTATGCTGATTCGTCAGTGTTACTTGTTCAGAAACACACATAATCGTCAGTGTGGCAAAATCAAATATACTGAAATTTCAGCCCATAATGGAAGCATTTACTGATTTTTCAGGGAAAACGAAATTCAGAGCTACAAAATCAGCGTAATCAGCGTGTTTTACGCTGATATCTGAGGCCCTGGTACTGGGACTCTTAATTTGTAGCATATATGAGAGGACCCCCCTTTTGCTATAAAACAATATAAGCCCCCCCCTTTCTGTATACAGTAGTTAAAATAGAATATGCGCGTCAGCTTTTAGAGGCACAGAATCCAAAACCTGACGCGTCATTTGTGTTAGAATCGGGTTCTGACACACCAATCGTGTCAGATACGAGATCTGACACTTCTAACGCGCCACTCGCGCGAATTTCGCACACGCGAATTTTTTTCGGTTCGAACATAAGACCCCCCACCCCCCCCCCCCCCCCCCCCCCCCCACCCCCCTTTCAAATCAAGTGTACACCCCTACATCGCATAACTGTACTTGATAAATAAGTGTACCCGGGACTCTTACAACTCGTGCCGATTAAATGTTCACCCCCACGCAGGCTCAGCACCCTCAGACTCGGCACCCCCAGGCTCAGCACCTCCAGGCTCCTCACGCTCAGGCACAGCACCCCCAGACTCCGCACCCCCAGGCTCAGCACCCCCAGGCTCCTCTCGCTCAGGCTCTGTGCCCCCAGGCTCAGCACCCCCAGAGACAGCACCCCGAGTAGGACTACCCCCAGCAGGACCTCAGTCACCAGTGACCTCAACGGGCGCAAGCACAGGAGGATCTACCTGAGAAACACCTGAAGGAGCAGGACCTGGCGCGGGGAGGGGGTCTACCTGGGAAGGACCTGGAGCGAGAAAGAGCGGCGGGGGGGGCGAGGGGCAGTGCGGTAGGGAAAGAGACGGTAAAAGGGGACGGACTCGTCAAAAGTGACGTCCTGAGACGCAAAGACACGGCGCGAGGTGGGTCGCAAAACTGCCAGCCAGGCGGGTCAGGAGGAAAACCAAGGAAGACGCAGGGAATGGCGTGGGCATAGAGCTTTTCCGCGGTGAGATCGCGGACAAAGGCACGAGCACCCCAGACCCAGAAACGCGACGCATCGCCAACCTCCCCCGTCCACAGCAGTGTGGGCGAGGAGACATAGGGTCAGAGGTTGAGCTGATGCGCAGTGTACCGGACCGCAAACGGCCACAGAAAATGGGGAGCTGCCGCATGGATCATGGAGGTACGAGCGACCTCCATGACTAAGCCAATGCGGCGCTCAGCAACCCCATTTTTCTGCAAAGAGGCCGGAAGCGTGAACGACTGGGTGATGCCATGCTCCTCACAGAAGGCTCGAAAGGGGTCGGAGGTGAACTCACCACCTCTGTCAGAGTGCAGACGCAAGACAGGAAAGTCCCGCTCAAACCGCTCGCGGAGCTGGAGACGAACAGCGCGGATCCAAGGGATCAGGACAGCAGGGACATCCGCCTTGCGCTGCAAGGGGAAGACCGTGGTGTAACGCGTGTAGTCGTCGACAACCAACAGGAAGTACCGCTCGCGGCCCTGTCCCTGGACGCGGGCTGGGCCCCACACGTCCAGGTGGAGAGTCTGCAGCGGAGCCTCTGTGGGAGGGAACGAGGAGGAGTGAGGAGCGGTGCGCTGCCGCCCCTCGACGCAAGGAATGCAGGGCGGCGCAGGCAAGGGAGGGAGGGCAAGGAAGAGACCTAGGAAGACCAGAGACCAGGGAGCGAGAGTACATGCCACGAAGGCGAGGCAGGGAGGGGTGACCAAGGCGGTGGTGCCACAGGAGAGTGTCGTGCGACAGGCGACGACACTCACACTGGGTAGCTACATGAGCAGACGCGTACAGCTGAGGAGACAAAGTGGCGTGACGCGACACAGTGGTGAGGGTGTACAGACTGGACCCAGGCGCACGTGTGAACGTGGCCAGGTGGCGGCCGGTCCGAGAGCACGTGCAGTGTGTCACCCGCTGTCCTCCAGGAGTAAAGGTGTCAACCCAGTGATCCTGAAGGACGGCGGTGCTCACCAAGTTCGTAGAGAACGAGGGGAGGTGGAGACCAGACAGCTCACCAGACGAGACCGGCAGACACGGAAGCACAGTGGTAGTCCGTGCAAGCACTGGGCGCCCAGAGCGGTCAGCCAGTGAGACAAGGATAGGTGTAGGGAGGGGTGTGACTGTGGTACTGTCGCGAAAGAAACAGCGGGAAGCACCAGAGTCAAGTGTAAAGGTGTGCAAGGCCTGAGCGGGCACAGTACCAGGGAGAGCAGACTCACTAGCACCTAGGGCTGCAGGCGCTATACCTGGGTCTATACCTTGGTCTATACCTGGATCAAGCGGCACACACAAGTAGCAGTCACCCTCAGCAATACCAGTCATAGCATACATGGCAGTAAGGATAGTGTCATAGTCTAGAGCAAATATATCTACTCCGTCTCGAAGCAGCTCTAGCCAGAGGGGTAGCTCAGTCTCGTCGCCAAACCGTGCTCGCCAAGCGTCGCTCAGACGGGAGAAGCAGCGGGACTCTGTGTGACTAACTGTCCCGCAGGTCTGACCAGCCCGATCACCTGTGCGAATGACGTACGGGCAGTGAGCAGTAGTCCTACACCCCCAACTCTGAGCGTACCACTCATGCAGCTGCCGGGGCATAAGGGTCTCGCGCGGGCACCGCTGCAGCTGCATCTGGCCACCGCCAGAAACTCCGCACTGACCAGCTCCACCACGACTGCTACCACGGGCGCCGCCACCTCTCCGAGATGCACAACGCTGAGCGTACCATTCATTTAGCTGCTGGGGTGTAAGGGTCTCGCGCGGACGCCGCTGCAGCTGCAGCTGCATCTGGGCCAAGCCACTAAGTTTTGTTTTCCTTTGTATTCCTATATAAACTCGATGTATGCATGCTTTTATTATCTCGATCAATTTACATTCTCTCCGACCTGACTGGAGGTCCATTCTTCCGCTACAACATCACATGCGAAATGATTTTATTATTCTTCCGCTACAACATCATCATTTTACATTCACTCTGACTTGAGGTCCACTCTTCCGCTAAAGCACCACATGTGAACATCCTTGAGCCGATCCCTGTCTAAGTCATGCTTATGATTGTAACATGATAAGAGTGCCACTCACGGATTCTTCCCCACCCCTCCTTCCATAAAAGTCGCCGAACCCAAGCTAGCGAGCAGCACACTCTCCAAAACCAAGATGGCTCGAGTATGTGAAGGCCAAGCCAATCTAACGGTTGAAGGTCAAACCAACCCGGCCACGACAACCGAGGCGTCAATTACGATCAGCACTCGAGCAACTGTTCCAACAACCATCAACAATGGAGAAATACCTCCAAGCATTGCGAAATGGCGACGTAAGAACCTCAACACAACATGTTGGAGCATAAGGGGATTTAAGCATTCCCACAAGGAGCGAGCTGTATCGCACCCATCACCATCGAAGCATTGTTAGCAATAGTATTGGATCAGCCCACATTGTTAAATTATACATGTGCTATATATATGTGTAGGCTGTAGTGGGGTAGCCAATATGGGGTGTAGCCCCTTTAGGGTTTCATACTTGTACCCAACTGCCATCTAGTTCATTCATTCCTACTTCTATTTATGACATGGTATTCAGAGCAATAGGTCCGTAGGACCGTTTTTTTTTCTTCTTCTTCTTCTTCTTCTTCTTCTTCTTCTTCTTCTTCTTCTTCTTCTTCTTCTTCTTCTTCTTCTTCTTCTTCTTCTTCTTCTTCTTCTTCTTCTTCTTCTTCTTCTTCTTCTTCTTCTCCTTCTTCTTCTTCTTCTTCTTCTTCTTCTTCTTCTTCTTCTTCTTCTTCTTCTTCTTCTTTTTTTTTTCGGGCCCACCTACCGTTGCGGTTACCGAGCTACCTCACGCACTGCCCTGCGCTGCGCCCCTCGCGTGCGCTCTGCCGTGCGCTACGCTCTAGCGCGCTGTGCCCTGCTTTGACCTGCGCTGCGCTGCTCGCGCGCGCCCTGCCCTGCTGCCCGCGCGTCGCCCGCTAGCAGCCCGCGTGCCGCCCGCGCGTCGCCCGCTAGCAGCCCGCGCGCCGCCCGCGCAGCCCTCGTGCAGCCCGCTGCTGCCCCGCGCGCCGCTCGCACAGCCTTCGCACGGCCCGCTGCTGCCCCGCGCGCCGCCCGTGCACGCTCGTGCAGCCCGGTGCTGCCCCGCGCGCCGCCTCAGCCGCCCGCGCCCGGCCCGCTGCTGCCCCGCGCGCCGCCTCTGCTGCTCGTGCAGCCCCCGGCTGCCCCGCGCGCCGCCTTACCCGCCCGCACGCCGCTTCAGCAGCCTCCGCGCGCCTTGCGGCTGCCCTGCACGCCGCCCTAGCCGCTTGCGCGCCGCCCCAGCAATTTGATCGCCGCCACGGCAGACCTGCGCGCGGCTTCTTCCGGCCTGCTCTCTACTTTGCCGCCTGCGCGCTACACTTACCTGCGCTGCAATCATGGCGACTCTGAATGTCCTCGCTTTCGATCCTGACAATCGCCCGATTGAATTTGCTACTTGGTTAGACGACCTGCAACTGTTTCTTATGACTGATGCCAAAGATGGCGTGTCCTTGTACGATCACGCGTCTCGCCCTTCCATTGCTCCTGCCGATACTGCTGCTGCTCTCGACCGCTCACAGTGGCAGACTCGTAATGCTGCTGCGCGCCTCGCTATTTGCAACCATCTGCCGATCACTGAGCGCGCGCATTTTAGCCAGCACAAGACTGCGAAGGCACTGTACGACGCTGTAGTTGCCCGCTACTCTTCCCCAGCCACTGCAGCCCTAGGTCGTCTTCTCCTACCCTACCTGTTCCCCGACCTGTCCTCGTTTACCATAACTGAGGACCTCATCTCCCACTTTCGCGCTAGTGACGTTCGCTTTCGTGCCGCCCTTTCAGAGGAGTTCCTCGCCGAAAATCCCCCCCCGATGTACTTCACTCTCTACTTCCTCGTCACCCGCCTCCCTGACACTCTTCGCTCAGTCAGGGACCACTTTCTCGCCCTAGACCCTACCACTCTTACTGTTGCCGACTTCGAGAAGCACCTCCTAGCAGCCGAAAAGAACATTCTCGCTGTAGGTGCTGCTCGTGGCACTCCTCGCACTCCCCTCTTTGAGGGGTGCTCCCCCTCCCCTCTTGCCCCCTCCTCCGCTCTGCTGCTGCTGCTGCTGCTGCTGCTGCTGCTGTCCACTTCCTTCGTGCTGAGGAGGTCGGGGCTGCTTCCGCTCCTAGTGGGAAGCGCAGTGGCGCCAAGGGCAGCAGGGGTGGCAGGGGAGGTGGAGGTGGCGGTGGAGGGGGCGGTGGTGGAGGCGGCGGGGGAGGTGGAGGTGGTGGGGGTGGTCGTGGGGGTGGAGGTGGTGGTGGGGGCGGCGGTGGTACCGGGAGCAGTGGCGGTGGCAGCGGCGGTAGTGGGGGAGGAGGGAGCGGTGGTGGCAGCGGTGGTGGGGGCTGGAGTGGAACCGGCCAGAAGGGGGGCTCCAGTGGTGGCCGGGGGCAGCAGCAGCAGCAGCCGCCGCAGCAGCAGCAGCAGCAGTAGCCGCAGCAGCAGCAGCAGCAGCAGCAACGTCAGCGCCAGACCCCCACGTCTCAGCAGCTTCATGACTGGTACGCTCAGCGTGGGGCGTCTGGGGGTCCTGCTCGATGCCCCTATATCATTCGCACAGGTCCCCGCGCTGGTCGCCCATGCAACGGTTTTCACACTGAGTACCGCTGCTTCTCTCGGCTTAGCGACGCCTGGCGCGCCAAGTTTCCTGAGGCTACTGAGTTTCCCCCCTGGGCAGACCTACTTAGGCGTGATGTTCCTATCTTTGATCTTGACTATGATGCAATTCTTGCTGCCATGTATGCATTGACAGGTAGTGCTGAGGGTGACTGCTACTTGTGTATGCCGCATGATCCTAGGTATAGAGGCTGCAGCCCTAGGTGCTAGTGAGTCTGCTCTCCCTGGTACTGCGTCGGCTCAGGCCTTGCACACCTTTACACTTGACTCTGGTGCTTCTCGCTGTTTCTTTCGCGACAGTATTACAGTCACTCCCTCCCTGCACCTGTCCCTGTCTCACTGGCTGACCCCTCTAGGGGCCCAGTTCTTGCATGGTCCACCACTGTGCTTTCGTGCTCGGCGGTGCCGTCCGGTGATCTGTCAGGTCTCCACCTCCCGTCGTTCTCTACAAACCTGGTGAGCAACGCCGTCCTTCAGGATCACTGGGTTGACACCTTTACTCCTGGAGGACAGCGTGTGACGCACTGCACGTGCTCTCGGACCGGCCGCCACCTGGCCATGTTCATACGTGCGCCTGGGTCCAGTCTGTACACCCTCACCGCTGTGTCGCGCTACACCCCTTTGTCTCCTCAGCTGTACGCGTCTGCTCAGGTAGCTACCCAGTGTGAGTGTCGCCGCCTGTCGCACCAGACTCTCCTTTGGCACCACCGCCTTGGTCACCCCTCCCTGCCCCGCCTTCGTGGCATGCACTCTCGCTCCCTGGTCTCTGGTCTTCCCAGGTCTCTGCCATCCCTCCCTCCCTCGCCTGCGCTGCCCTGCATTCCTTGCGTCGAGGGGCGGCAGCGCACCGCTCCTCACTCCTCCTCGTTCCCTCCCACAGAGGCTCCACTGCAGACTCTTCACCTGGACGTGTGGGGCCCAGCCCGCGTCCAGGGGCAGGGCCGCGAGCAGTACTTCCTGCTGGTCGTCGACGACTACACGCATTACACCACGGTCTTCCCCTTGCAGCGCAAGGCGGATGTCCCTGCTGTTCTGATCCCTTGGATCCGCGCTGTTCGTCTCCAGCTCCGCGAGCGGTTCGAGTCGGACTTTCCTGTCTTGCGTCTGCACTCTGACAGAGGTGGTGAGTTCACCTCCGACCTCTTGCGAGCCTTCTGTGAGGAGCACGGCATCCGCCAGTCGTTCACGCTTCCGGCCTCTCCGCAGCAGAATGGGTTTGCTGAGCGCCGCATTGGCTTGGTCATGGAGGTCGTTGGTACCTCCATGATCCATGCAGCTGCCCCCCATTTTCTGTGGCCGTTTGCGGTCAGGTACGCCGCGCATCAGCTCAACCTCTGGCCCTGTCTTTCAGTGCCGGAGACTTCGTCCACACTACGTTGGACGGGGGAGGTTGGCGATGTGTCGCGTTTCCGGGTCTGGGGTGCTCGTGCCTTTGTCCGCGATCTCACCGCGGACAAGCTCTCTGCTCGCGCCATTCCCTGTGTCTTCCTTGGCTTTCCTCCTGACGCGCCTGGCTGGCAGTTTTACGACCCTGCCTTGCGCCGTGTCTTTGCGTCTCAGGACGTCACCTTCGACGAGTCGGTCCCCTTTTACCGTCTCTTTCCCTACCGCACTGCCCCTCTTCCCCCTCCGTCGCTCTTTCTCGCTCCAGGTCCTCCCCAGGTAGACCCCCTCCCCGCTCCAGGTCCTGCTCCTTCAGGTGTGTCTCAGGTAGACCCTCCCTTGACTGAGTCTATTGAGGTCACTGGTGACTCAGGTCCTACTGGGGGTGGTCCTGTTAAGGGTGCTGAGCCTGAGGGTGCTGAGCCTGGGGGTGCGGAGCCTGGGGGTGCTGAGCCTGAGCGTGAGGAGCCTGGGGGTGCTGAGTCTGGGGGTGCGGAGCCTGGGGGTGCTGAGCCTGAGCGTGAGGAGTCTGGGGTTACTGGGTCTGGGGGTGCTGAGTCTGGGGGTGCTGAGCCTGAGGGTGCTGAGGCTGCTGGTAAGCGGTCTCCTTGGAGTGGCTGCCTACGTAGTCACACTCGTCGGCGTGAGCCTCTCTCCCCACAGCAGCTACACGAGTGGTACGCTCGCCGTCAGGGTCGCGCTGCTGGAGATCGGTGCTCCACCACTGGTGGCGCTTCTGTCAAACATTATATGTGTTGTGTTTGTGTAGGCTGTAGTGGGTTAGCCTATAAGGGGGTCACAACATTAGGGTTTCATATTTGTACTCACAATCCTTTCTAGTTCACCATTCCAGTCCGTTATCACTGACATGGTTTCAGAGCAGGTCCGTCGCTAGGACTGTTCTTAGGGCCCACCTACCTACCTACCTACCTACTGTGCGCCTCGTGCGCCTGCGCGTCCTAGAGCGCGCCTTACCTTCCTACCACGCGCACGCAGCTCGCTAGCCGCCCGCGCGTGGCTTTCCTTTTTTTTACCGCGCGCGCTGTACTAGCCGCTCTCGCGCGACCGTTTTCACGCGTGCGCCCCGCCAGCTGCCCGCGCGCGCCTTATTTTCTTCGCGCGCGGCCCGTCGCACTGCCTCCCCGCTGCCCGCGCGCCTTTGCGCTGCTGCCCGTGCGCCTCGTGGCCTCGCGCACTGCCCGCCGCTGCCCTGTGCGCCACGCTGACGCACCCGCTGCTGCAGCCGCCCGTCGCCTGCTCGCGCACGCCCCGCAGGCCCGCAGCCGCCCGTCGCCTGCTCGCGCACGCCCCGCAGCCGCTCGTCGCCTGCTCGCGCACGCCCCGCTGCCCGTAGCCGCCCGTGCGCCGCTGCCACTGCCGCACGTGCGCATACGCAGCTGCCGCCCGTGCGCTGCTTCCGCTGCTGCTTGCGCACCGCCGCCTCCTGCCGTCGCCGCACGTGCACTGCTGCCGTCAGTGCGCCGTTGCAGCTCCTGCTGCCACGCTCCCTACTACTGCCGCTCGTGTGCCACTACGGACAGTCGACCCCGCCCGCGCCTTACCTAGCGGCCCCGCCGGCCCCGTTGACCCTACGCACACCTTTCCAGCGGCCTAGTTCCTACTCCTACTACTGTCACTATGGCTAGTCCTCCCGTTCTAGCTTTCGATGCCGAGGGCCGTCCGGTGAAGTTCGAAACCTGGCTAGATGACCTGCACCTGTTCCTACAGCTCACTGCCAAAGAAGACATCTCGCTGTACGACCACGCCCTAGGCCATGCTACTGCCCCTGACACGTCTGCTGACAGCACTCTACGCTCTCAGTGGCAGACTCGTGATGCGCACGCTCGCTTTGCTATTCGCAACTCCCTGCCGCTAGACGAGCGCGAGCACTTCGGCCAGTGCAAGACTGCTAAGGACCTCTACACCGCTGTAGTTGCCCGTTACTCCTCACCCGCTTCTGCTACGCTAGGCCGCCTCACTCTCCCCTACCTGTTCCCCGACCTAGCCTCCTTTCACACTGTCGCAGACCTCATCACCCACCTTAAGACTAGTGAGGCCCGCTTTCGCGCTGCTATGCCTGCCGAGTTTCTCACTAGCAACCCCCCCCGCTCTGGATCACTCTCTACCACATCGTCACCCGCCTCCCTGACTCTCTGCGCGCAGTCAGGGACCACTTCCTCTCTCGCTCCCCCACTGAGCTCACTGTTGCCCTCCTCGAGAAGGAACTGCTTGCAGCTGAGGCGAGCATCGTCGCTGTAGGCACCTCTCGTGGCGACCCCCGCACCCCGTTCTTCGAGGGGTGTTCCCCTTCCCCCCTCCTCCCCTCTGTCGCCTCTGCTGCTGCTGTCGACCTCCTTGGTGCTGAGAAGGTCGGGACCGCGTCTGCTTCGAGCGGGCGCCGCAGGAGCAAGGGAGGCAGGGGTGGGGGTGGTGGCGGAGGAGGTGGGGGTGGAGGCGGTGGGAGTGGAGGCGCGACTGGGGAGGCTAGTGGCGGCAGTGGGGGAGGAGACAGCAGCGGCGGGAGCGGTGGCAGGGGTGGAGGCGGCAGCGGAGGTGGAGGTGGTCGTGGCGGCGGCAGGGGTG